ATGGCTGCAGAAACTCAATAACAATACAGCAGGCTCTTAAAACACTTTGTTTATTTCCCTCCTGTTTAATAGCGCTGCAGATTTGGTTACTCAGTCATTTGATAATGTTTCTTTGTCGTGTCCTCCCTTATCACTGAGCTGTCCACAGATCCTCTCTGTGCGACTGTGCCGCTCAATGGAAAATGGCGTGTTGAAAAATACTTGATTTAATAATTCACTGTTTTGATTGACAGCTGTGTTTCCCAGGGAAGTAACTTGTTCCTTTTATGCATTTTTTATCATTTGGCTAATTAATCCAGCATGGTATGCCAAACTGTCATAACCATCAAACCACTGGTTTAATGTAATGTAGCGTGGCTCTATAATCGTATTGAAATCAGAAGACATTTAATAGGTGAGGACATAAGTGAGTGACTCTGATCTAGGTTTAGTTTATTAGGATCCCCATTAGCTACTGCACATGCAGCAGCTACTCTTCCTGGGATCCACATAAAGGTTGGAAGAGGTGTTGTCAATAGTGAGGTCTGAGATGGTATCTCTGCTCAATGGGAACAGATGTAAAAGGTTTGTGTCGTTCATTCATATGAAACCTGTGTGTGTCACCCTGGCTGCCAGGATGCCCTGATCTTGAGAGCGTAGTTAATGAAGATGAAGCGGGGCCGTCCATTAAGGGATTTACTCTCTGTGCCTTAAACAGGATTAATGTCAGGCCTGAGGAGCGAGAGAAGACAAGTGTTTTTAAAGAGTGATGGATCACACATGAGGGGCGAAGAGGTGGAGGCTTGCCAACAGGGTGGTAGAGATGACACCACTACACTGGGTCATGTTCCCATACCACTCCAGGCAGTAGTTGCCCTTGGGCACAGGCCAGATCAACTATCAGTTTACCCTCTACAAATCCTAACCTTAACCCATGAATGCAAAACTGAATGACCTTAGATTGGCATTTAATTAGGCAACTTTATCATGATAGATGGTAGGAAAAGACCCTGACATAGCGCTCCATACTCAGCCTTGCCCAGTACTCTCCCTCTGCCCGGGCCCCTGACCCAGGCTCAGAGCTAGCACCCCCACAGAGGAAGAGGCTGTTGTTCCCCTCCTGTGTGGAAGGATGGTGGTCCTCGTGAGCGCTTAGCCGTGATTTAGCAGATTAAGGGAGTCACACTTCCCTGGGTGACTTCCATGTGCTTCAGCTGGCAGGCTGAGTGCCTTGTCAGAATGAGAGACAGGAAGACCGCTTGCCTTGCTAGCTGGCACTCACAGCAACATGGGGAAACTGCTGTGGAAAATACAATGTTACAACAAAATGTGATGTTTGTTCATATTCAATACTTAATATGTTGTAATATAGGTCATAACTTGTACTTCAGCCCTCTGAAAGGTCTTGTGAGGTCTTTCATCAAGGCTAGATTTATAAAATGCAGGGACATTAAATAATCTGCACCTCACCCCCTCGGTTTATAACACCTCAGGCCACCCAGGAGGGAGGCTGAGAGAGGGGGGCGCTGGCCCAACCAGCACCAGCCTCTGAAGTAGGGATGCAAATGTCGGTCAATTTGCTGCCGACTAACCGACCCTCATTAACAGGTCAACAAACTGTAAACATTTTCCAAACAGTAAAATTACGTGACCAACAGAAAATACTATCAGAGATCTGTAGATTATGACGAGATGCTCATGTCTCCGCCCTAACAATGGGAGTCGTTGTCCCAAAGGCGGGAAATATTTTGGACATGTTTTGGCCAGTGTGAAACCTCTCACTTTGCCTCTTCCTCGCTGATACTGCATACAAGGAACATACATTTTTCATTAAGTGCTTAATGCAACTATAGCAAGCCTATCGTCTTAAAGTCAAAAGGCTATAGCCTATTATTGAACATGCAACTCCTGTAATGAAGCAGCTAATATGTCATTTTCAAACATTTGCCAAAATGCAATTCGCGGGTAAACAGCACACCTAATGCGAGCGGTTCCATGTGATTGAGATGGTATAAATCTCCCTTTGAAACTTAGAAGGAAGGGGACTTTAATAGCAACAACTAAGATGGGTTTCTAATATGACTAGGATTTTGGCTTTTGGACAATGAAAGTTCATATGAAAACCAATAAAATAATACAATAATTACCTACAATTTCTAGGGATGGATTTTCACAAGGCTACTTTGAAGCAAGGTAAGACATGCCTCATTATTTGAAGTGAAGTAAAACGTTCAGGTTTCAAACAATTATACAGCCTCAAGCTCACATTGCAAAGTGGTGGGTGACACGCTGATAGCCTGCCTACCGTTGACTATAGCCTATTCACGCGAATGGGAGGTGCGCTTTAATTACGAGTTGAGATTGAGAAATAAAAATGGCTATTTTTAATCGTGGCCATCAAAACAGTTTTTAACACGCGATTGCATTTAGAATTGTTATTTGTTGCGCAATGACTGGGCTTACAAAAGCACATGTTTCACTCCAGTACCAGTTTTTTGAGTAGCTGCTCTCGCACTGTCTGACAGGTGATAGGCTATTCCGCTCCACAAACTATGCTTTGTGTGCTGTGCCCGTGTGATAAATAAGATGCATGACGACAAACAAAATACACACGCGCCAATTTAATTCCACTAAATTATGCAAATTACCTATAGACCGATAAGCATGACTGGTCAAATGTATTTTCGACCAGCTAACCGATTTAATGGTTAACATCACTACTCTGAAGCAATAAAAATATTACACTGTAGACTCACTCCTGTCACTGTGAAATGAACCCCCTCCTTCTCTACTACTCTACACTAGGCTTTAAGTTTAAACTGCTTAACACAAAATATCAGGATTTTAGCATGACTGTGTTACAAATGGGACACCCTCCTCACCCTAGAACCCATCCCCCTGTACTTGTGAAATGCATTATATATTTCAATATAGGCCAGTACCTTTTAAATAATCCATGGAGGAATAGTAAATGGTTTCCTTGTGTGTTTTCTTGCTAAGTGAATGAAACCCTAGGCTACATTGTTAGCCTCCCGCCCCTCTCTCTCTCTCGCTCTCCCTCCCTCCCTCAGTGGCAGCGAGTTTTTCCTGTTTTCCAGTATTGATAATAGGCCTTACAGGAAGAGAACATCTGGGAACCCAATAATTATCAGTATCGATTGTCCTCGGGGACACTGTGCTGCTAAAGAGGGACACTTTCTCGGCTGCTAGGAGACATGAATTACCGCCGGTGATATGGGGGATGGTTGAAGCCACTGGAGGGAAGGCGGGAGGAGCGGGAAAGGGCCCAGGGATGCTGGGAATAAATCCCAACGCTCCTGAGATAGTGAGAGAGAATGAAGGAGAGAGAGCGAGGTGGGACTTAATAAAGAGAGATGAAGGACTGTTGTTTGTTACACTGATGAAGTCATCGCCTGCCTGTGATTGTGGGATTCACAGTCATATCTCCTTCACACCACTCTCACACAAACACATGCACATTCCTCTCATGTATCTGTCCTTTACCAGGTTTGACTGTACGCCTACACCTAAATTATTTCCAAAGTGTTAGTAGTGCCAGCAGTTTTTCTGGACCATAGATGGAGCTGTAGCCTGTAACTATGACCCTGAGTACAGTTTTTCCTGGTCAGGTCCTGTGGTTAGAAAAACAACTTAAGTGTCAGCAGCCACACACACCCTGGGGAGGTGCCTGCCAGCCTGGGTCAGGCTGTAGTACAAAGGACTGCTTATTGAAACCCTCATATGAACTCCATTAGACTTTGGCTATGCCCCCTGAGGCAGGTGGACAGGTCTGTTCTTTGTGTGCTGGAGAGGAGGGAGGGAAGAGTTTGATTAGTGAGAGAAGGTAAAGGGAGCGTGTTAAAGAAACAACAAGCCCTCACACTAGCTTTATAGCAATGTAGCCTAGCGTGCAGGCCTTTATGTGCCTATTTGATATGCGTATCTGACTATGTTCCCTTCTGGAGGGAGTGCGATCGATATTATTCAGCCAATCGGCCTTAGTGGAGATGTAGGTGGTGGGACTGGGAGTCCTCCAGGCTTCCTCTCCAGTAGGCACACTAACTAGCTGTCCAGGAACATACAGCACCTGCCATCCTCTCTCTCAACCTCCTCTGTGTCTACAGTTAGTATTTACTATTTTATTAGGATCCCCATTAACTGTTGCCAAGGCAGCAGCTACTCTTCCGCTTCTCTTCCTAGCTCAATGAGAGCTGTGAATTTAATGGCCTTGAATGTGGAATCTGCAGTGATGTCAGAAGGTATACAGCAAATGGGTCCTGTCAATCAGGAATGATGAGCTACATCCAATTTACAAATTAGCTATGACTGCATCAAAATAATTTTGCAGTGTGGGAAGAAGACTGACATCACACTACATTTACCGACAAACCCATTATTTAAATGATGCTATCCTATGATTTGCAACATTAATGTTTCAATGCATAATAACCAGTAGGCTGTTATTTGATTAATCTTACATTTAATTGTCTTTTGTCTGGCACTTCAAGTAAGCTGAAAGAACTGAAGATATTCATATTTATTCCCACATTCAATCTGGATGTAAATCTAGTGTTGATATTCCCCAGATGACGTTGGTGCCATCCCACACAGTTTCACCACGCTGGTTTCCCTACAAACACTTATGCATTATAGTCAGATATAATCAAACCTGTCAGTGACATTTATGCAATATCTTTGTTTACAAACTGCAGCCTTTGTACAGACTTGTCCTATTCTGAAACATCTACCTATGAGGATAGTCTACTTGGTGTTACAGCACCTAAAACCATTATGCAATTAGGCTATTTGACTTTACTGCTTCAAAACAGCAATACAGGTTTTACAGTTATTTGACTACACTACTGGATGAAAAACATGATGCGCTACCGCGTGAATAGTTAGAATTTGAATAGCTTGAATTGAACCCTTCTCTCTCTCTCTCTCTCTCTCTCTCTCTCTCTCTCTCTCTCTCTCTCTCTCCCCTCCCTCCCCAGGTGATGGAGTGTGCTGGGGCTTGGTAGGAGCTCTGTAGGTCACAGCCAGCATACGTACGTCAAGGTCATGTGTCAGCCTGCAGCCTGATGCCCACCCTCCCATCACCCTCACCGGCCATGGACGGGGAGAACTGCCTGCACCCAGAGGGGCCGCAGTTGGACAGCAGCATTTTCGACGTTGCCACTTCCAATATGGAGGTATGTCGTACGCACACTACACATGTTTACACATCAACCCATTTTGGTAAACTCAAAAGTTCCAGGAAAATGTGGCTACATAATATGCTAATATTATTCCAGGAAATGTGGCTACATATAATACAGGCTATATTATAAATGCAAATAATAATGTTATTGTCATCAAAAGTTTTGTTAGCATGGCTAACAGAATGCGGAACTCTATATCTCTGGATCTCCACTGGCCCCTCTACCTCCGGGCCTCTTGGCTGGCCTGCAGTGGGGCTGACTGACGCATAAGAAATATGTTGCTGTGGTTTGTAAACACAAATCTGAAATGCTTCTTATTGTAATTTCTGCTCGCCTTCAGACTAATTTCGTGCTTCAGTTGCACTTCTCCATTCGGATGAGAAATCTTTGTTCGTCCTCAGACCAATCAAATTCTCGCATTCATGAACGGCAATCTATCAGCAGACAGTGTTCTGACTGATGTAAAGCTGCTTTTCTCCTGTACTTTTCTCTGTGTACTTTTCTACGGGACTTTTCTGTGTGTACTTTCTCTCCTGTGCTTTTCTAAGTACTTTTCTTCAGTCATTTTCTGTGTACTTTGCTCCTGTAAATTGCAAGATTAACTTAAAGCAAGACATTAGGAAATGTAGCTGGCTAAATTTTTTCTATGATAAACATTACAAATATGATGGCCATGCATCGTTTTTGCAAGAAAGACCTTGCTTTTTCATTGTAATCTAATTTACTTGTGTGGCTGCTAGCCAAATAGTGTTGCACTTCTGTTGTCATCTGATGAAAATGAAGCTATTTTCTGACGAATGTGTTGCACTAAAGTATTTTGTGTGAAGGAAAACTATAGTTGCATGCCCCTGATCACACTATTGAAGCAAAAAAACACTGTTGACTTTAAATATAAAATGCAGGTGAAATGGTTTAAACTGGGGTTTTATGATGGTCTGCATTTCTGAAGGCTAATGCGACCCCTGCAATTTGAGCAGGACCTGGAACACAATGGCAATCATGCGTTAGACTTTTTTACATCTGTGGTGGGATGGTGACGTCTTTGACACAGTTATCTCCACCGATACTGGGCCTGATGAGGGTCAAGATTTCTCAGGCTGATACTCGTTCAGGGATTAACTAGTGCCGGGCATCATCTGTGTCTCTCTTTAGGAGACACTGGTACTATCTAGTGCAGGAATGGGCAACTGGCAGCGCTGCCCCCCTTTAGTAGGCCCGTGGATCTCAACTTAATGTTGAGAGTTAGGATGGTAGAATACAGAAGGTACAATTTCGAAATTTGGTTGTGCATCAGCAGTTTTTCTCTTATGTCAGTCACTGGCAGTCACTCAATTAGCCCATGCCAGCTAACATTTTTAAGAATGGTAAGTTAGTCTAGCAGTAATCATTGTCAAATTACAGACTGGGGGGCCCCCATTTATTTTGTTAGTCACTCTCAATCAAATATCATTTTCAAAGCTGCAAACATTGTATTCCACCCTATGGCAAAATGAGTAGAATTGCAGGAAATGAGTTATAAAATTGGGTATGGATGTGGGTACGCAGACTCGCGAGCCGCTGCAGCCCCTCATGAGAAATTCAGATTTTTTGTGGCCCCCACCCCCATCAAAGTTGGCCATCCCTGTTCTAGTGTCTCCGACCCAGAGGAACAAAGACATGCTAAATGGTTTGCTGTGAAATGCACTGGTGAAAATAAAAGCGTTTGTGCACAATTATTCACAAATGTAATTTTGGGGGAAAGGGTACACCCCCAAAACAAATATAGATCTATCAGGTTGTCACAGAGGTGTAGCTTCATGAATGCAGAGATCTTTTGTTATACAATTCCTGACCAAGTAATTTGACAATATAAATGCAAAGCATTTATTACCCTATGATTTCCAGTGGCATATAGTGTTTGAGTCTGGTTAGGCATGGTAAACTAATGAACCTTTTATCTACTCTGTTTCAGAGTTATATGTATCCCTCTGGTTCCTGGGGATCATTCTCACAGCAGTCTGGAGGCTACAGCGCACTCTGCCCTATGCAATCTGGAAACCAGTAAGTAACCAATCACCTCTCATACCTCACCCTCTCCTCTGCTGTTTTACTTGTGATGTTTATTTAGTATTTTTACTAAATACACATCAAAGCTGCAGCTACTCTTCCTGGGTCCACACAAAACATGACGTAATACAGAACATGAACAGATAATTACATCTGAAGGACAGAGCTACATAAAATGACACTTCTACATTAATGTGGGTGCTACCATGGTTACGGATAATCCTGAAAGTTGGGGGTATGAAATTTGTGAGTAACTTTCTCACTCATCATTATTCACGATTTATTCAGGACTATCCGTAATCATGGTAGCATCCACATTAATGTAGAAGTGTTTAGAAACATATTCTACTCTTATTTACAATAAAAGGGACTCCAAAATGACTCAATACATTATTTACCATTCATTTCTATTGGGCACAAAATAATCAAACACAACCAAAACAAACAGCAAGCTTGATGTAGTCATTGTGTGCCAGGACCAAATACTAAACTTTTGACTAATACACAAGTTAATTTGTCCCAATACTTTTGGTCCCCTAAAATTGGGAGACTATTTACAAAAAAATGCTGTAATTACTAAACGGTTCACCCCGATATAGATAAAAATACCCTCAAATTAAAGCTGACAGTCTGCACTTTAACCCCAGTCATTGTATAATTTCTGGAGCACAGAGCCAAAACAACAACATATTTTTTACTGTATATTGCACATCATTTTAATACATATAATAGCCATATGTAAGCTATTAATAGCTGAATATAGAGAGATCATGCCAACCTATAGGCCCTACATGACCCCAATGCATTTAAAAACTACACCATGTCTGGGCCAGTAGAAATTCTGTTTGGGCCAGTCGATTTTTGGCCAATTGGCCCGATGTTTACGTTGCACCCTGGTTACACAAGGCTAATTAAATCCAAATAATAATTCAAAAGTGCCCCTGACAATAAAGCACCAGTCAAAGTACTACTTATGTAGATTGTCCTGTATGTGTCGGTCTTAAAATCCGGGGGTGGGCTTCAGTTTCTTATTAAATCTCCTTAATTTCCTGTAGAGAGCTGCATTGCTGGCTGGCTGGCGTCGGCCTCGCTGCAGAGGGTGGAGGTTATCTCTGCATCTGGCAGCAGGGGCTGTTCCCTGGCCTCCCAGTCAACTGAGATGTGTGGCTCACACTGCTCCCGACCCCCACCTCTCAGACACACGCACGCATGCACACCACAGCACATGCACGCACACACACATACACGTAAGAGCTCCTAACTCTTACCTCCATCTCGCACACACTGGCAATTGTATCACCAGAAAGGCCTATCTGTGTACCAGTTCTGTACACAGATATGATTTCCCCTGGTTAAACAGGGTCAGGTTAATTAGTTCAATGCGTTTTTATAGCATTTTCTCCATTCAGTTTGCCCCTGTAGCACATGGCAAAGAGACTCTATGTAACCCAAACATCTAATCCCTACCCAGTGTTGATTTAACCCCTTAGAGTCGATGCCTGAGCCCCCATAAAAAAAGTTTAGTTCAGTTTAAGCTAGAGATATCTGTTTTTTTGTATTGGATTCGTCTCAATCCACCGCATCCGCACTTCCGCATCTGCGGTGAAAGGTGACAGAGCTAAAGCGGTCTTCTCACAAAATTGTCTGTAACGTCCGAACAGTTAGACAAACTATTATGACCCGTCTATGGAAAGATGAGACTCTCACGAACACAATGGTGTTCTCCATTTTGCTCTACGACCCCCACAAGCATCTTGGGACTCGTCTGAAGTTGGTACAGCCGATCTGCCAACTTCTTCTGTCTGTAGCGTCCGAGTTTGGCCTACACACTAGTATGACCTCTCTATGGAAAATATGACATCTCTGTGGAAAGGTGAGACTCTCACGAACACGTATATGTCATTGTTATGCTCTAGGACACCCACAGGCCTCACAAGACTCGTATCTAGGTCCCCCGGTACCAGTTGAAAAAAATGAATGGAAGAATATATGTTTAGTGCCAAGAATAAGGGGTTAAATGATGTGAAAAATAAATATAATAAAAAACCTTCCTAATCGTTTTATATCTCTCGGATATACAGTGAGGGAAAAAAGTATTTGATCCCCTGCTGATTTTGTACGTTTGCCCACTGTCAAAGAAATGATCAGTCTATAATTTTAATGGTAGGTTTATTTGAACAGTGAGAGACAGAATAACAACAAAAAAATTCAGAAAAACGCATGTCAAAAATGTTATAAATTGATTTGCATTTTAATTAGGGAAATAAATATTTGACCCCCTCTCAATCAGAAAGATTTCTGGCTCCCAGGTGTCTTTTATACAGGTAACGAGCTGAGATTAGGAGCACACTCTTAAAGGGAGTGCTCCTAATCTCAGCTTGTTACCTGTATAAAAGACACCTGTCCACAGAAGCAATCAATCAATCAGATTCCAAACTCTCCACCATGGCCAAGACCAAAGAGCTCTCCAAGGATGTCAGGGACAAGATTGTAGACCTACACAAGGCTGGAATGGGCTACAAGACCATCGCCAAGCAACTTGGTGAGAAGGTGACAACAGTTGGTGCGATTATTCGCAAATGGAAGAAACACAAAAGACCTGTCGCCTGGGGCTCCATGCAAGATCTCACCTCGTGGAGTTGCAATGATCATGAGAATGGTGAGGAATCAGCCCAGAACTACACGGGAGGATCTTGTCAATGATCTCAACGCAGCTGGGACCATAGTCACCAAGAAAACAATTGGTAACACACTACGCTGTGAAGGACTGAAATCCTGCAGCGCCCGCAAGGTCCCCCTGCTCAAGAAAGCACATATACAGGCCCGTCTGAAGTTTGCCAATGAACATCTGAATGATTCAGAGGAGAACTGGGTGAAAGTGTTGTGGTCAGATGAGACCAAAATCGAGCTCTTTGGCATCAACTCAACTCGCCGTGTTTGGAGGAGGAGAAATGCTGCCTATGACCCCAAGTACACCATCCCCACCGTCAAACATGGAGGTGGAAACATTATGCTTTGGGGGTGTTTTTCTGCTAAGGGGACAGGACAACTTCACCGCATCAAAGGGACGATGGACGGGGCCATGTACCATCAAATCTTGGGTGAGAACCTCCTTCCCTCAGCCAGAGCATTGAAAATGGGTCATGGATGGGTATTCCAGCATGACAATGACCCAAAACACACGGCCAAGGCAACAAAGGAGTGGCTCAAGAAGAAGCACATTAAGGTCCTGGAGTGGCCTAGCCAGTCTCCAGACCTTAATCCCATAGAAATTCTGTGGAGGGAGCTGAAGGTTCGAGTTGCCAAACGTCAGGCTCGAAACCTTAATGACTTGGAGAAGATCTGCAAAGAGGAGTGGGACAAAATCCCTCCTGAGATGTGTGCAAACCTGGTGGCCAACTACAAGAAACGTCTGACCTCTGTGATTGCCAACAAGGGTTTTGCCACCAAGTACTAAGTCATGTTTTGCAGAGGGGTCAAATACTTATTTCCCTCATTGAAATGCAAATCAATTCATAACATTTTTGACATGCGTTTTTCTGGATTATTTTGTTGTTATTCTGTCACTCACTGTTCAAATAAACCTACCATTAAAATTATAGACTGATCATGTCTTTGTCAGTGGGCAAACGTACAAAATCGGCAGGGGATCAAATACTTTTTTCCCTCACTGTAGGGCAGATATTTCAGAACAAACTACCTTTTGATTTTCATGGGGGGGGGGGGGGGGAGACTATCTGTTGTTCCATGTAGTGAATCTGTTATACAATGCGTTTGTATGGGCTAATAAAAATTCAACCCCCCCCTGCTTAGACTGTAATGATTTAACTGTTGATGTAGTTTGCTCTACCTCCTTGTTCTTTGCATGATCTTTCTTTGAAAGCATGCCCCATATAGTATGACGTTAGCAGAGAACCTGTGGTTTTCACGTTTAGTCAGACTTTAGTTCATTGGTAGTGGTCTCAAGCGTGTCACTTCTTCAATCTGTCGTCAGATGTAATCTACTGTACCATATTCAGCTCAGCAGATCAGAACGATGCCTTGTATCCTTCATTAAGTGCAGAGAGTTGATCTCACTGACATATGGTTAGATGTTTTTTTTTACTGTAGCTAAAATGGAGTTGCTAGTTACCACACAGTTGATTGAGTCCTGTGGTACATTGGGAGACAAGTGATTGAATTAGCCTCAGCCTCCTCCTCACATCCCTGTTCAGTGCGAGCAGAGAGGGTCCTGTGCAGAAATGTTACTGGGTCGGTCTCCAACTCTGTTTACTCACTACACACACACACTCACACCCACACTATTTTAAGACGTCATTGAGATGCTGACTGGATAGATTTAGCGATACAGAGCTCACTGAATAAATGTGAGATCCAGCCAGGGTTGTCTGTGTGTGTTCAAGGGTCACTATCCAACAAACGGCTGTACATGCCCCCTCTGTTTCGTCACCATGTGGTTTTGCCTCACAGACAGTGTAACTCATGTATCAATGCTTTGACAAACAGGCCACCCACTAGCTTGAGCTTCCATTTACAGCAGTACTTCAAAAGCAGTAGATTTCTAGGATGTAGGCCTACAGCTGTATTGGATCATTTTAAATGCAAATATTCTTAACTGTTGCTCTGTCTACTCTGTCTGCATTGTTGGAAGTGCTTTTAGACTAAAGCACTAGTCTGCATTACAGGGGTGGAGGTGAATTATTTCAGTTTCAATTCAGTTAATTCCAGTGAATTGAAACAGGCTACCTATTTAAAAAGTAATCCTGAATTTAAATGGAACTGAACCCAAACCCTGACTTGCGCACGTAATGGTTGTTACCACAGAGTGGGAGATTGTCACGGCCTGATAATCTGAGGTAGCCGCCCGATGCCCTGATTCTATCTGAAGGTTTGGTGCTTAATGAATGGCAGGTTTGTCTGGAAGACAAAATGAAAGCCCCTGATGTGATCAGTAGATAGGCCAGGGAGGGACCATCGTATCATATGTCTTTTGGTAAA